AGCGTTAGCTCTTCGTCTTTCGCTCTGACGAAGGGCTAACGCTCGAAAGGTCAGCTTTTAACTCTTTACGGTGGTCAATTTACAATTTCAATTTAGTTTATAAAACCAAATTACATTTTTAAGGTAGTTTGTTTCAAGTTTGTCCACTGGTCTTTTCTATTTTGTTTCTTGTTTATTTGCTTCAGCTACGTGAAATCGAATGGGAAAATTCTGGATTTCTGTTGCACGACAGACGATGTGATGTGGCCTGTTTTATTTATGACTCGTTGGATCCAGCTTCGTTTACCCAAGTGATACAACTGCGAGAGGTACATTGATGTAGCACACTCGAGTACTATGCTGTGGATTTGCCGTTTCCAGTTACTGATGCGCAAAATTATTTCAAACTAGGTCGTGTAAGGCTAAGTTTTGTGCTCGGGAGTTTTGATTTTGAACGTAATCTGGAGGAACCTACTGGAGTAAAGTAAATATATACCGCCGCTATGAGTACTTGGTGCGTGATAGAAGTCTGTGGCACTACGTGGATCCTACAAAGAATTTAAAACAACGACTCTGTCAGATTACAAGTGCAACTTCTTTTCATGTTTCTAGAAACTTCCCAAAACAGTTCCTTGTATGTTAGTTGCTGGTAAAAGTGAAGGCGTAGCAGCTAAACAGGTAATGAATTCCAGAAATTTTCATTTGTAAATAGATTTGATCAAAACTGAGATATAGGAAATAAATCACAGTTGATGGGCGGATGACGCATTGTGTATTGCATTTTGTAGGATTTTGAAATGCAGCCGTCTTTGTACTGCTCGTTAAACAAGTTACCACCACCTCAGGTTAGTGATTCTTTGTTTTTCAAAGCAAACAGTTTAACATGTTCATGTAGAGCTGCCATCCATTGACTTCATTCTACAATCTTTCAGTGTTGAACAACTAAATGGAACACGTTGCAATTCATCGAGAAATAATTAATGATGATTAATGATTAAATAATTAATGATAATTAATAATTTTTTTTTTTTTCGGAGCAACGTTTCTTTTCAAACCAAGCTATCATTTTTGTTTATGCTTTCCTATTTCAGCCATTTTCATCCCTAAGCAGACCAGACGTATACAGGGCTACCTACGACAACCTCGCCCAAATGGCCGTCTATCCGTAAGTAAAGTGCATCATTTGCCAATCGCACATACACAA